CAATTTGTAAACAAAGAAAATTTATTAACAACAACAAAAAAAATATTAAATTTTAGCCAAAGTCTTGATACCCAATACAATTGGAAGGAAGGAGAGAGGAATACTTTATACATTTCTCAATCCAAATAATTTGTTGAGCGCCAGTCCTTTCTAAGGACATTTTCTTATAAAAGAAAATTAGAGATTAACAAAACGAATAAAATTTTAAGGAAACAAGACCATTGATTTTTTAAAATTTTCAATACTAAAATTATTGACAAGAACAAGTACCTAGATTCCAGAGAAACAAGACCATTGATTCTCTAGTAATCGTCTCTTAAACAAACAAATTTAAAATGAATTTCAGTCAAGTTACAAACCAAATCAAGAACCTAGATTAGAGAGAAATAAGACCATTATTCTCTACTAATCGTCGCTTCAAATAAAACAAAATTAAAATTCACCAAATTTTAAATCCAAATATAAAACTGAATTCACAAAATTTCGAAACAAGAGCAAAAGGGGTTTGGTTGAGAAACGAATAAAATATAAAGAATTTTGCCGGTTAGCTAGGACCAAAAGGTCAAAGGAAGCGTCGTGGTTCGAAGAAATTATACTCAGAAATTTAAAACAAAATTATAAAATATATTTTAAATAAAACGTTAAAATTGTACAAACGAGGGTAACAAATCGAATTAATAAGATATAGCACAAATCACTATTTCATAGAAAATTTCAATTTTAGAAACATAAAATACAACAAATAAATACACAAAATATACATGAATATTCACACAAAATTCATAAATTAAACAAATTGTTCAGCCAAAAAAAGGGGTACCAAAAAGGGTAACGAATATGGTAACTGGGGAAAGCTAAGGGGTAATTTCAATAATTTAATAAAATAAAATTATTGTGGGGTTGGTAACTTGGGTAACAGGGAAGAATTTAGTATAAAATCTTGAGAATAAAAGGGGAAAAAGGGTAACAAAAGGCAACACGTGGTTGAACAAGAGACATTATTTTACTCTTTATCCAATCAAAATTGAATAACCAATTAATAAAATTCAATTTTAATAAAATCCATTTTTAATGGAAACAAATTCATAAAATTTTAAATAACAAAATAAAAGGAAGTCTCTTGTTCAGCCATGAGGCCAGCTGAATCAAATTTCGAAATTTAATAAATTAAATTTAGCACTTTTAATTATAATGTTACAAACTTACATTACTTGGCAGCAATAAAAGAATTACAGCAACTTGCAGTTGAATCCACACAAAAAAAAGAAACACCAAAAGGAAGAAGAAAATTTAATATTGATATCGAGAGTAAAAGCAAATTCAAAGAAAGAAAAAGCACACGATATCTCCTTAATTCGAGTAAAACGCGTCCATTTTCAGCGAAGGCAGGAGCAAAAAAGAACGATGATAACGATGATTGTCGGCGTGCTACCTCGCTGGTCCTTCTCTGCTTCTCCCCGCCGGTAGCCCTTGGTCAATCTTGTATTCTTACGCCGGAAAAGGAGCGTAACCACTGGAAAAGCCATAGGCCAATTTCAACTTTAAGAACAGCTGTCGGCATCCAAATTTCGGTATCTTGACCCGTGTCTTTCTCGCCATCGACTTGCTTCAGGAAATTAGTTCCTAATTTGTAGCTACTCTGATTACAAACCAAATAAACAACCAACAATCCAATAAAATATCAAAAATACAAAAATACGAAAATCAGAGCGGGCCTTTAGTAACGATTAATTCGGGCCTGATTGACAAGAAGTTTTTACTACGAAGAAAATTTGACGAGAAAATTCTCCCTTATTTGTTTCACAAATAATACTTCTGAATAATAATAAAAATTCCGGAATAATATTAAAGTTAATAAATTTCAGGGTATTATTGTTATTTATAACAATTCTCGGGTTAGGTGCAAGAAAAGGTAACAATTTCAAAATTATTTCAAGTTAATTTGGGTGACTAAGTAGTTTCCGGTAGGTAGGGGAAAGCGAAAACGGGGGAAACATAGCGAGAGCGGCAAGTCTCGAGGAGTCATTTCTCAAGAGAAATTGGGAAATTGTCAACGACGAGAGGGGAACTCTGCTTGCAGGTTGACCGACGAACGTCGTTTTCGATGATTTCAAATACTAGAAATATTCAGAGAATACGAAAAACAAAAATTTGCAAAAGCGAAACGATAGATAATATTTATATTATTAAATTAATGTTTATATAACAAACTAGTCTTAATTTTAATCTTTGTTTTAGTTATTATTATTGTTTATAAAAAAATGATTGTTTACAATTAAATTTCATGCAAACTTATCATGAAATTTTGTTAATATTTTTATGAAAAATTTGCAACGTTACAACACCCCCATCCTTAGATGAAGCCAAGAGGGCGCTGTGAGACTAAGTAAGAAAAAGGAAATTAGTTCAGGGAAGGCAAGTTGGGTAACAATTAAAGGAAAACATAATTTATAAAAAAAAACTTTTATTTTCTAATTACAAGCGGGAAGTCAGTGCACAGTTTGGGCACTTGTTGTTGGTGAGAATGTCTCCGCATGTCCGGCAAACATCCTTGATGTCGATAATGGGGTTGGGGCAATCTTCACATAAGTGACCCTGGTCACCACACGTCCAGCAACCTTTCTTGCTGCTGCGGCGGAGCCATTTTATTAAATCTGGTGCAACCTTCTTGGGTGGTTTTACCACGATGTCCAGGAGAGATGGTATGCGCTTAGGTGGCAGGTTTTTGGGGTCCGACAGTGGATTAGTAATAATGGGAATGTTGTAATACTCGCCTGGGGTAACGGATTCCGGGTTGGGTTTAATTGTATATTTTTGGGGATTGTCGTGGTCGATGGGGCAGTTGGGTGTTCGGCACTGGGGAGATCGCGGACGAGTGCAATTCCGTTTGGTTCTTAGGGGTGAAGGGCTCTTCGATCTAGGCACGTGGTACGAGGGCGTGCGAGGTCGGTAGGGTGACATTCAAGGTTTGTTTTGTCGCTTAATCGTCTGTCGGGTGCGATTGGACGGGAAAAAATTATGCGCAAGCGCTGCGCTACACACGGAGCAGCAGTCATCTATAGACTGTGTGCTGCTGCGACTCAGGCTTGTGGGTAGGAGCTGCCCATGCTCTGGATACCGCGTGTCTATTCCAGCATGTTCAGTTGATGCTCAACTCGTATAAGAAAAGCTAAAATGCACGCGCGCATGAACATATAACAAATAAAAATATAATAATATAATGATTTAACCAGTAGATCATTGAATATAGTACAAAGTACAGGATATTTATATAGTTATAGTATTATTAAATTAATAAATAAATAAATAATTTAGTCAAACAGAAATTCATTTTTATTAATTTATTTTTAAATTTATTTTTATTGTAAGAAAATTATCTATTTTATGAAAAATTCAAAATAATAATATACAATATTTTACGTAATAACATTGTTTTTGAGTAGTTTTCAAAAAACCTTTATAACTTAAATTAATATTTAAATTAAAATTTATTAGTGAAAATTGAGTTACACTTTATTTAAATTTTTAACTTTGGAGAGTATTTTCACTTTAAGAAAATTGTAGAATTTTTTATGTTCATTTTCATACGAAACCTTTTTTTTGTTTACCAACGAACTAGGTTTAATATAGAATAACTTGACACATTAAAAACAGTTATAATTTTTCAATTTATTTAACTCTGTTATTTACACTTACACCCTCACTCACTCTTAAAATTAAATAGAATTAATTGAATTAATTTGAACATGAATTTGAGCATTAACGAAACGGTGCTTTTAATTCATTCCTTTACAAACCGCCAACCTTGAAATAATAATTTCGAAATAAAGTAACATAATTGAAAACTAAACGTAAAGTTTGAATGAAATTACAATGAAATAAATTTTACAAAATGAAAATACTAATTAGATTATTTTATGAATCTAAATAATTTCTTAATCGTTCTTTTCTAATTCAAAAGGCAACATAACAAGCTCCGTGATAGGTCTCACATACTCGGATGTACTAGTTTTTAATTTTACGACGCGCGTTACATTATCAGAACCAGGGTAACACTCAATTACTCTAGCAATGTTCCATTTTGTTGGCGGCAAGTCTGGTTTTCGCAGTAAAACCATTTGTCCGATTTTTACAGGTGATTTTTGTATTCTCCACTTGGTTCGATGATGAAGAGATTGTAAATAATCATCGGACTAGCGTTTCCAGAAACTTTCATATAAATATTGAATTTGTTGCCAACGAGACAATCGATTTGCATTCAGATTTAATAAGTTTAATAGAGAAGGTACGGCAATAATAGGTCCACCTGTTAGAAAATGACCCGGTGTCAACGGATCAAGGTCATCAACGCTGTCAGTGTAAGCTCCAAGAGGTCTAGAATTTAACACTCCTTCAATTTTTGCTAATAATGTAGTGAGTTCTTCAAACGTGGGAGTTTTGTCTAAAAGAATGCGTTTTAGATGTGATTTTACGCTTTTAACAGCAGCTTCCCAGAGTCCTCCAAAATGAGGAGCTGCTGGGGGGATGACATGCCAGGTAATTTTATCATTCGCGAGCAAATTTTTAAATCGAACATCTGATGTTGCTTGATTGAATGCCTCATTTAACATTCGATCAGCACCTTTAAAATTTAATCCTCGATCGCTATACAAATGGGTGAGAGTGCAACGACGAGACGTGAATCTATCAAATGCAGCTAAAAATGCTTCTGTTGTTAAATCAGATACAAGCTCAAGGTGCACGGCCTTGACAGACAGGCACACAAATAAGGCAATGTAACTTTTTCACGATTTAGATTCACGACCGCTTTCCATTCGTACATTTAATGGACCAGCGTAATCGAGACCACAGTGGACAAAGGCATGTTCTGGTTTTGTTACACGAGGTTTTGGTAAATCAGCCATGATTTGAGAAGTTAAAATTGCTTTAATTTTAATACATGGGAGACAATTTTCAATTACGGACTTGATTTGGGGACGAGGATTTAGAATCCACACATTTTATCTGAGTATACTTAAAGTAAATTTCATGCCACCATGTATGCATTTATTATGAATATGAGTAATCAAAGATTTTGTTAAGGGATGCTTTGCTAGAATTATAGGATGTTTTTGATTAAAAGGCAATTGAGATTTTTCTAATCGACCGCCTAATCGAATAAGATTGTTTTCGTCGAGAAATGGATTTAATGAATAAAGTTTACTCTTTTGAGATACTGTTATTCCTTTTTTTAAATCTTTTAATTCATTTAGAAATAGTTGTTCTTGGATTAATTTGTATAAAGTATCTGTTGATAACATTATATCCATTGCAGTCAAATTATTGTTTGTTTCTTTTATAGGAATTTTAACGTGATCAACCATTTCTTTTAACCTTCGTATAAATTTAAGAATGTACGCGAGAATACGAATTGTTTTTTGACAAGAAGAAAATTTCATTAGAGAATTAATTATATTATGATCATTTGACGTGTTAACTTGACATGTAACCGGTCTGCATTTTAAATTAAATTCACCTAAAGAATAATCAATTTCATTTTTTTGTTCAATTAAAGGTTTCGTGAGCCAATCTGGCCCATTCCACCACAGAGTAGAAAATTGAAGGTCAGTAGGACTGAGACCTCGCGATACTAAGTCTGCTGGATTTGATTTTGTAGACACATGTTTCCATTTTATTTTTGGTAAAAGAGTTTGAATCTCAGCGACCCTATTTGCTACGTATAATTTCCATTTTGATGGATGATCATTCAACCAGGCGAGGACAACCTTAGAATCGGTCCAACATTGCACAGGAAGGTCTTTGTAAGCTCGAATATTTTTTATAAAGGTAATTAGTCGTGCTAAGAGTAAAGCAGCTAACAATTCCAATCTTGGAATAGTTTGTTCTTTTAATGGAGCAACTTTAGATTTGCTAGAAATTAATAAAACTTTAATTTCTCCAGATTCATTTATAATGCGAAGATAAATAACTGCTCCATAGGCAACTTTCGATGCATCCGCAAACCCATGTAACTCAGCACACTGGTTTGACGGATGACTGAAATTTCAACGAGAAATTGATAGGTTTGAGAGTGATTCAAGTGATTGAAAATAATTTAACCAGTCAGTTTGTAATTGTTTTGGTAGAGATTCATCCCAATTAACTTCACTCAACCATGTACGTTGCATTAGAATTTTTCCAATTATAATGACTGGTGCTATCCATCCTAAAGGGTCAAAAAGTTTTGAGAGCAATGACAGCGCTACACGTTGAGTCAAGTTTTTTGGGATTTCGAAATTAATGGGAAAATGGAATGTATCAGTACTTGCATTCCATTTGATACCTAAAACTTTAATACCCTTTTCTTGGTTGGAACTTAAATTCCATGAAATTCCGTGATCTGCTTGATCAATATCTGCAATTAAGTCAGGATGATTACCTGCCCATTTTCGCGGGGGGAGTTAAGCCTTTTGTAATAAATCAATCACTTCATTACGGACCTTTAAAGCGTCCTTCAAATTGTGTTCCCCGAAAACAAGATCATCGACGAATGTATCATGTTGAATTACTAAAGACGCTGCTGGGAAATTGTTTCCTTCATCCTTAACTAATTGTTGAAGGACTCTAAGGGCAAGGTATGGAGCGGATCGAGTTCCGTACGTAAAAGTATTTAATTGGAATTCTTCTATCTTTAATTCTGATGACTCTCGCCAAAATATTCGTTGATAGTCTCGATCTCGAGGATCAACGAGTATTTGGCGGTACATTTTTGCTATGTCCGCTAACAAAACAAAACTATATAAACGCCATTGAGAAACAATACTGAGTAAGTCTAACTGAAGTTTGGGACCAATATGCATGTGGTCATTAATTGACGTTCCATTTGATGTTATGCTTGAGCCATTGAAAACTACTCGAAGTATTGTAGTTTGGCTTTCCCGAATTATCGGATGATGGGGTAGGTAAACAATAATTGGAAATATTGATTGTATTGGGTTTTTAAGACGAGTCATGTGATTCAAACTTTCATATTCATTCATAAATTGAGTGTAAAGATCACGATGAGTGGGATTTTTTGCTAGTTTAGATTCATTTCTTTTTAAACAACTTTCAGCTATAAAACGAGATTAGCCAATTTTTGGGGGTGATTGTTTAATCGGAAGACGAACCATATAACGACCATCTGGAATACGACTGTGAGTAGATAAAAAATGGGATTCGCAAAATTCATCTTCAGGAGATAATAGTTTTTTATCAGGAATATTTTCATCATCCCAAAATTTTGTGATTGTGGAATTTAATTGTTTGAGTGACAGACAATGATGTACCGAAATAAGTGGATCATTATCTGTGACTGTAGACGAAATCGGCCCTGATAACACCCAGCCAAATACTATTTTTTGTGCTATTGGTTCATCCGCATTTCCTTTTTTTATTTCACCTAAAATTATTGCTCCGTAAAGGTCGACACCTATGAGCATATGTATCTCTGATTCATTTGATGGATCGTCTGATAACGCGAGATTTGCTAAGTGAGGCCATCTATTTAACGCAATTCTTTTTTCAGGGATATAAGATGTGATTTTAGGAAGGACTAATGCTTCAGTTTGAAAGACGGGATTTTCAGAGTGGATTGGCATGAGATTTATATCAACAGCTGATGATGCTGTTCCTGCTGACGTTCCACTTAAACCTGACAGCGTTGCGGACACTCGATTTCGTTTCGCGTTTAAAGCAGTTGCTAATTTATTTGATATGAAGGAAAATGTTGAACCTTGGTCTAACAATGCACGAGCTTGAATTTTTTTATTATTTGACGTAACCATTAATTGAACTGTCGCGAGTAAAACTGTTTTTGGCACAATTTTATTTGTGGATAAAAAATGTGTTTTAACGTTTTTGCATTCTGTTTCATTATTGTTAGACTCTAATTCATGTTCCTTTTCCGATTTATATTGTGTTGTGTTAGTATTCGAGTTATCGCGATGAAGCAATGAATAGTGTTTCTGTTTACATTTTCGACACGTGTATGAGCTCGTGCATTCTTGCACCTTATGTTTAGCTGCTAAACAATTTATACAGAGTTTACATTGTTTTATTTTATTATATCGATCTAATGGTGACATACTTTCAAATTTATCGCATTTATAAATTTTGTGATTTTGTTCACAGATTGGGTACTCTGGTTTGGGAAATGTAACTACATACGAATTTGCTGTTAATGACTTTGATTTTTTTTGGCGTAGAGTTTGCTTGAGATTGAGATTGTTTCGTTTGAACAGATTTTTGAGTCGGATCAACGTGATTGAGCGCCTCAAGAGCTCGAATTCTTGCTAAAAGAAAATTGTCAAATTCTTCGAAAGTTGCACATTCTGTATTATTCGATAATTTTAATTCCCAATCACGTTGAGTTTTGGAATCGAGATTTACAACGACTCGGTTTATTAGTATGTCGCTATAAAATTCAGTAGGTCGTTTTAAGTTTTGAAGAGCGGAAAGATTTCGATTTATAACATTTCGCATCATTAATAATTGTGTCGCGGATTCTTTTTTTAACGGTTCTAGTGAGAAAATTTCATTTAAATGAGCATTTACAGTTGCACGAATATTTGAATATCTCGTTTCAAGCAAAGTCCAAGCGGTTTTAAAATTGGTTGCATTGAGGGGAACATTACAAATTAACTCATTAGCATCACCTTGAACAGATGACTTCAAATAGTGTAACTTTTCTAAACTTGATAAGGAATTTCGATCAATAATAAGAGATTGAAATGAATCTCGGAATGCTACCCAATCTGTGAACTTACCGGAGAATGTTGGAATCTTGATGGTCGGCAGCTTGATGTTGGATCCTTCTTGCGTTGATACATTTGGTAGTTGAAGTTGATTTGATGACAGCTGATTTTGACATTAAGTCATCCACAGTGAGATTAGATCAGTGATGTTTAGATACCTTTCTTCTAGATGTTCGTAACATTTCTTTGTAAAATAAGAGCGAATTTTCTTTACTTCTGGCGTTGCTATCTGATGTAGCCGATAATGACGTGATGTTATGCTTGACCACGACATATACAGGTGTTTAGAGCGATTCTCGAGAATAGGGCCTTGATGTTGATCTTCCTGCAGATTTTCAACATAATTTATTGATCGATATAAGCTTTCTATTTCCAATGATTGTTCTTGATAAAGATGATCAAAGAGTTGGGTTTGCTCTTCTTTGGATACTTCAGACTTCAGTGGATCCATGAACCTAAGAGATTTCTCTTTATCTTTGTCACTCATGATTATAACTGTCAAATGAGTAGACTATTCAAACTGAACGATGGTTTTCTCTTCGCACCAGAGGGAAATGAGTCGTCCTTTCTTATGGGGGTATGTGAAGAGTGTGGTGTAGGTGATAAGGTGATGACGTCACGATGAGGTACGTGATCATCTTGTGGTTGAATAATGGCGGAAATTCACTATACTCCTTTTCAAGATGGCTAAGCACGTGTTGATGCTAACACAAATTATCACTTTTTAAACACACACTGTTCGTTAGTATCCTGTCAGGATCGCCATTTTGTAAATTGAGTTACACTTCATTTAAATTTTTAACTTTGGAGAGTATTTTCACTTTAAGAAATTTGTAGAATTTTTTATGTTCATTTTCATACGAAACCTTTTTTTTGTTTACCAACGAACTAGGTTTAATATAGAATAACTTGACACATTAAAAACAGTTATAATTTTTCAATTTATTTAACTCTGTTATTTACACTTACCCCCTTACTCACTCTTAAAATTAGATAGAATTAATTGAATTAATTTGAACATGAATTTGAGCAATAACGAAACGGTGCTTTTAATTCAATATCAAGGTGACGACTGACTGAATTGCGCAAAATTTGGAAAAGTGGGAATAAGGTTGACAGGGATAGATATATGATTAATTTCGCCCTCAACTGTGATTTCTTAATTCATTCCTTTACAATTAGAAAAAATAGTATTTTAATATCTTTTTTGTAAATTGTGTCTATTTTGTTATTTTTTTAAATTAATATTTTTAAAATAAATGAATAAAAATTCAGAGTAGTAAAACTTTATAATTTTAAGTTTTGTATCGCTTTTTATCTAGTCAATTTTTTGTAATTTTCTACAATTTTTATTAATAAATTTACGAATTATTAAGAAACTTTTATATCTATTTTATAATTTTGTGTATAAATTACACAATTACTCGTAATTTTATTATTTTATTTTTTAACTTTATTTCATAAAATTCATTTTTTACATTTTAAAAATTGTATAAACATTACATGTATGACAAAAAAATAATTTTTTATACGGATCTTTGTCAATATAATTTGTAAAAAGTTAAGTAGTAGACAACAATTTCTCAATTTAATGATGAATTTACCAAATTACTACTCTTAAAATATAGAATAGGATCATTTCCTCGGAAGTAAATAAAGTTATTTTGTGTTAAAATAAAGTTTATTAATAAAAAATATCCTTTATTGAAACATTATGCTTACAAATCATCTGTTTTGACACAGAAAAATCTTTGCTTATATTTTTTATTATTTAAACTGATCTTCACTTAAATTATTCATTTCTTAAAGAATATGTTTACAAAATTATAAACCGTATCTAACAGCAATAAAATGAGTATCATTCGTCTTAATAGATAAAGTTGTAACCATCACAGGTAAATCACTATATTTAATTAGAGCAGTTTTATTACAACTTTCAACGATGTAAGCATGATAATGGTGATCAAAAGTCACTTCAAAAAAAACATTGACATAAAAGTAAACATCATTATCAAGATTAATTATTTCGATGATTTCTCCGAATTCTTTCTCAATGTTTTGTATATTAAGAATCAAAAACATACCAACGTTTAAAATAGTGCCATGAATATTAACTTGTTGATAACATTTACATTTATTAATTTCATTTTGCTTAAAAAAGTTCGACCATTCTTTACTACTATTTTCAGGCCTAGAGAATGAAATACTTTTTTCAACTTCCAAAGAATGAATCATTTGGCACATTTGCAGCATTTGCTTTGTTGCTATGTTAACTAACAAATTTTTGCTACCACTATTCACCAGCGCATTTGCTTTAATTTCTCGATGGCGTGATTCAAAACGCATACACCAAAAGTTGATGCATGGTCCATTTTCTAGCAGAATACGAGGGTAGTGAACCATATTATGGAATTTAGGCTTAAGTTTTCCACCTAGCCGTATATATAATTCATTGTGGTTCTGTATTAATTGTTTCAATATTTTAACGTCAGCTGGAACTATTCTAGGTGAAGTTATAACATCAATTATTTGACGCAGATATTGATACAATTGCCAATGGGAATCACCTTCGGGTATAAAATGACCAATTATTAAGCCTAAATAGCGCACGAAGCAAAGCATTTCCGCAGCAGACATTTTTAAATTCAATTTATTTTTTACTTTATTTATTGTAATTATCGGTGGCTTGTTAGATTTTTCCACATAACCAAAATCGAAATTGCGAATGAGACTGTTCAATTTTTCTAAGGTAAAATATTCTTTATCAAAAATAAAAGCGGAAAGTATAAAGCGAAGTACGTATACGCAAACACCCTCTAAAATATCATGCATCATATCAACAGTCAGATTTTGAGCAATATGAAAGTCTGTCATTTTGTGAAAAACGCAAGGTTCTTTTATGCCGCTTTCAGAAGTATTCAACGTCGTGCTATCTTTATAATACTTAATTTTTGTTCTTAGTTTAGATGGATCTTCATTGACCATTTCAGAAGTTTCTTCTGATGTTGCTGTGCATATTCTACACCAAACGTTAGCTTTGAAAGATTCAACAAGACCGAATATTTGATTTAAGCCCAAGTTATCTCCTAAAATTAATACTAACTGAAATTTAACATGTTTGAGAACACCATCGATGTAAAGAAAAATGCCTGTATTTAGTAGAAAATTCAACTCATCAATAAGTTTTTTAAAAACACTTTCGTTATCGGATTTCTTTTTATCGTCAATGTGTATTAAGGTAGAAAAAACGATACTAGATAATCGGGAAGCGATATGTGGTGGTAAACAAGCAATTGACTCCGAATTTATTTGTTCCAGCGTGACTTCCAAGTGGGTTTCCGGTTTCAATTTCATCGTAATAATTGTACAAGGGAAGAACTATGCTATCTACACATTTTTTGGAATATATGCTTAACCATAAATTTGCTTGTATAATATTAGTTATTACGTATGATTCTTGAGAAAGACTTTGAATGTAATTACATATTTCGCTAAACATTCCCGGAATTTCCAAAAATATTTTTAGTGTTTCTCGCAATAGAACATGAATCCCGAATATGTCTTCTGGTACAAAAAGCATTTCGTTATTAACAATTTTTTCAACGAACGTTTCTCCAATTTTAAATTTTTTAAAATTAATAAAGCCTTTTTTTCTCAAAATATTAAATCTCTTGTGTTCTGTTTTAACAGGTTCGAATACCGTGGAATGCTTTTTAAAACATTTCTCTACATTTTTTAATACAGAATCTGAAACATTATTTTTTAAAACGTTGATAACGTCCTGTTTAAGCGACGGTAAATACACGTTTCGAATAAAATCATCAACATAATCAACAACAAGTTGAACGATTTTTCTGGGTAACATTGGATCTCCGTAGAGAAATAAAATAAACGTTAGAATATGATTCAACATTAATAAATGATCCATTTTTAAATTATTAATTTAAAACTTCATATTAATGATATAATAAATAATTATTAAAACGTACTTTTTTAGAAATTTAGTTAACGCTTATTAATGTCAGCAATTAATTTCGAAACGAATGAATTGGCTTTAAAAAAATTTAAGCCATAAACTATTTTTTCGAAAAATGCCCATACACTATCGCATAAAAAAGGAACAGTATGCAATGCAATTAAACTTTTGTAACATGCATCTAATGCTTTCAAATGATCACTGTAAACGTATTTCTCACTGTTTAATACAAGGTATGCTTGAAAATTTTCAATTTTTCCGTGAAAGATCAAATACGGATGAAGAGGTAAACCTACATTTCCGAACCAATTTTCAAAGTTAGTTTTTGCTTCATGGATGTTGTCCAACTCCTAGA